ATCCTTGACTTGTGAACCACTGTTTGGTCTCCTGAAGAAAGGAAAGAAGTTCCAATGGGATAACCGATGCCAAGTTGCTTTTGAAGATCAAGTCGTATCTACAGAACCCACCTATGTTGTCACTGCCAGAGCCGGGGAAACCGTTGATTTTGTATTTGTCAGTGACCGACACGACAATGGGTTGCATGCTTGCACGGGAATATGAGGATAAAGTGGAGAACGCTCTCTACTACCTGAGCAAGAAAATGCTAGAATATGAGACCCGTTATACTCCGCTCGAGAAGGCTTGTTTGGCCTTGGTATAGGCTACCAGGAAGTTGAGGCGCTACCTGTTAGCTCACTCCATAATACTGGTTTCGAGATTAGATCCCATCAAATATCTCTTCGAGAAACCAGCATTTACGGGTAGGCTAGCCGTTGGTTGCTTCTTCTCTTCGAATTAGATCTGAAGTACATGACTCGCAAGTCTGTGAAAGGGAGAGCTGTAGCGGAGTTCCTAGCTGATCACCCAGTAGAGGAAGATGAAGCAGTAGAATATATGTTTCCGAATGAGGCCATTTTGCAGCTTGAAGAAGAGACCTGGACTATGTACTTTGACGGAGCGTCTAACTAGTACGGGCATGGGATAGGGGTGTTACTGATAGCACCTGACAATTCCCACATACTGTTAGCCTTCAAACTCTGGTTCAAAGTATCGAACAACGAAGCAAAGTACGAGGCATGTATCGCTGGCTTGGAAGCCACCCTGAAACTAAGGCAAAACGGTTGGACGTCATTGGGGACTAGAACCTTGTTGTATCTTAGGCGAAAGGAGATTGGAAGGTTAAAGAAGAGAGGATGAAAATCTATCACCAAACCCTGGACTTTCTAATTCCTAGGTTTGAGAAGTTAACCTTCACCCATTTGTTAAGAGAGAGCAACAGGTTTGCAGACGCTTTATCAACTCCATCTTCTATGATAGACATCCCTTTGGGAGTCAGGATGCATCCAATCATCATCGAACAGAGGTATGTGCCGGCTTATGAGCTTATTGCCGCCGTAGATGAAGTACAAGATCAGAACCCCTAGTATCATGACATCTGGAACTTCTTGGAAAAGGAGGCTTATCCACCAGGGGAAAATGCCAAAGATAAAAGGGCAATACGAAGAACGACTGCTCAGTTTATCGTCTGTGGGGGTAAATTGTACAAGAGGGGCCATCTGGGAATGCATAAACTGTGTGTTGATGCTGGAGAATTGAAGCACCTGATGGAGGCCATCCACAGAGGAGAGTACGGAGTGCACATGAGCGGAGTGATGCTAGCTTGAAAAATTCTCAGACAGGGTTACTACTGGTCAACCATGGAGGAGGACTGTATTGGTTTAGTTTGACGATGCCACAAATGCCAGATCCATGCAAATCGCATGAACATTCCGCCATCGAAGATATACAACATGACTTCGCCATGGCCATTTTCAGTCTGGGGGATTGATGTGATTGGAGCAGTTACTCTGAAGGGGTCGAACGGGCATGAGTATATCTTGGTGGCGATAGACTACTTTACCAAGTGGGTCGAGGCCCAATCCTATGCGGTGCTAAAAGCGTCGCACGTAGCTAAGTTCATCAGGAATAACATTATATGTCGCTATGGGGTCCCGAATGAGATCATTTCGAACAATGGTTCTCACTTCAAGAAGGAGGTGATCGACTTATTGGAGAAATAGAACGTGGCTTTTCATAAGTCATCCACATATCGGCCGCAAACCAACGAAGCTATTGAGGCCACCAACAAGAACATCAAGCACATTCTACAGAAGATGTTGGAAACCTACAAGGACTGGCCAAATAAGCTCTGATTCACTCTTTGGGGCTACCGGACATCAATTCGAACTTCTACTAGGGCAACTCTATATTCCTTGGTTTATGGGATAGAGGTTGTTCTGCCGATCGAAGTTGAGGTTCCGTCACTACAAGTAATGGCTGAGTGCTAGATAGCATAAACAAATTGGCAGCAGAGCAGGTTCAAAAAACTTATGCTGTTCGATAAGAGATGGCTGAAAGCACTGTATCACGTCCAAGGTTTTCAACGCAGAATTGCTAGGGCTTTCAACAAGAAGGTTAAGTCCAGGAATCAGAAAGAAGGGGATTTGGTACTCAAAGACAACCGAGCTCCCATTCACGGCCCTAGGGGCAAGTTCAGACTTAATTGGACTGGTCCTTGCATCATCAAGTCTATCTGGTTGGGTGGAGTTGTCGTTCTTATGGACCTAGATGGCCTTGAGTTCTCCTAGCCAATCAACATGGAAAAGTTGAAGAAATACTATCCCTGAGAGGCTCACTAGACCAAAAATCCGAAAGGGCAACCTAGGCAAAAGTTAGAGCACCGAAAATTTAAAATAAGAAAAACTGAGCTCGCAAGGTTGAAAACCCAAAAAGGGCGGCCTTGGCAAAAGTTAGAGCGCAAAAGGAGAGTGTTAACACCCGAGTGAACCAAAACCAAACTATGTAAGGCTTGATTCCCATCTTTGGGATATGTAGGCAACTTCATTCCGAACCCCAGGCATAAACACTTCCAAAATCAACTTTCTCCATGTGATTGTTTTGGTCATCTTTGTTTTTTCTGCATCCAAGAGTTCGGTTGTGATTTCCAGTGCAGTGTTATTCAAACAAGGGGCAACTTTCCAGTTGTTAGATTCAGGGTTGTACATCTCAAGGATGGATTTTGGGTGTGTCCAGTTGCGATCCATATCAAAAACGGTTTTGAAAAGTTTTAATAAAAGTTGATTTTGTTCAAAATATTCTATTTACAACTTAGACCATTTTTGGACCAAAACAAAAAAAAAAATTTGTACCCACAAATTTCTATTTCAATGATTTCAATACAGAGTTGTCCAACTCTTGATACAAATTGAAGTTGCTTTTTATTATTACATTCAAAAAGAAAACTTGAAAGTACATATTAAAGCAATAAACTTGGGGCATGGTTGAGTCAGGTGTTCCTGTGTCCCCTCCCAGAGCTAGCGGATGCTTCAGATGCCAAAGTAGGCCCGACTTGTGCCTCATCCTCAAGCCATGCTATGCATTTGCCAGAAAGGGCGTAACTGAAAGTGGGAGCGGGGGCCAGAAGTTCTCTTGTCCTCTATGCAGTGGAATACCGGGTTAGCTGTGCGCCTTGGATTGGAAATGCAGCTGGGTACTATATCCTCTATTCTAGGCAAGTCTGGTCATGTCCGAACTGACGCCTGAATCCAAATGAAAAGTAGAAGACATAGTGTATCAAGCCAACCAACTAAATACCAGGCTACTGGGACATGCTGTAGCTCATCTCCGGCAGAGCAAACTAGGGGCAACGCCAAGCAATGTCAACAGCAGATTTGTTGCACATCCAGTGGCACCACCATCCCTCGTTTGGGAAATTGACTAGCCGTGGGCAGAAGAAATAGCCACGCGCTGAATACGCTGGGCAAGCGTCCACTACTTTCAACCTATCCATCAGCCATACCTGGGGAGGGATGAAAAATAAGAGAGATTAAAGAATAGAGAGGTGTACGTGGAGAGAAAAAGTGAGAAAGGGTTTTGAGAGACAAACAGAGCCTGGGGGCTGAGTTATGTGAGAAACACATGTGAGAAGGATGGGAAACATTACTTGCAAGAGCAGTGGACTTCTTGTAAACTTGGTTGTTTCCCAGCGATGGAAAGCATCCAAGCCAATCAAAGTTTTGGTCAAGCTAATACAGCACTTGCCCTCTTTCAAGCCTTGGGCAACTTCAGTCAAATGAATGGCAGACCCTCCAAAGCTAGGGACAAGCAAAAAATGGGCCAACATACACAAGCAGAGAGCATGTTGCCGAAAGCTTTGCCAAAAGTGGTCACTGCGGTTGGCAGCATCAGAAAACTGATAAATGAGATTGGGGATGTCCGACTCCCCATTGTGAATCAAAGATCAGACACCCTGTAAAGTGATCCCGCACATCCTTCCTAAAGCTTAGATGTGGGAAAAACCAGACTAGGGCAAGATCTCCTCATCGCGCTGAGACTCCATCAAAGCCTGAAATTCTTCGATTATGGGACATACCTCTTGTCCCCCGAAGCTAAAAACGTGTATAACCGGGTTCCAACATCTAGCCGCGGCATGGAGGAACTGAAAACACAGTGGAGTACGGCTCAACAAGAATAGTGCGTTTAGCCCGAAACCTCAGAAATTCAACTTTTTCAAGCCATCTAAAGTCGCAATCCAAGTGGAGAGTTTTTCAGTGAAGAATGGTTCCATTTGGGGCAAAAATGGAGCTGAAATGAAGAAACCACGAAGCAGGAACATTTGTAGAAGATAAGGCAGTGAGTGGAGGAGAAGTGTCAACATTTCGGAGGTGCTGCTCATCAATGGCCGGCAGTGGCTCACTGATGGCCGGCAGAGGGTCATCAATGGCCGGCAGAGGGTCATCAATGGCCGGGGGGGGCACATTGATGGCCGGCAAGCCATTTCCCATGGCCGGCAGCCTCCCTTTATGCTCAATGATCTCCTGTGTGAAGATCCAGTTGCTTTCAGTAGTTGTATTCTGTTATCGACACCTTTTGGGGTCTTGTTTTGGTTCTTTTCTGGCTTAAGCATGTTTGTTTAAGTTGTAATCATCTAGTCTTATTTATTAAGTTGCATTTTGTTGCTTGTCGAGTTGTATGTATGTTGTTTATCGAGTTGTATTCATGGTGTTCATTGGGTTATTTTGTTCCTTTCAGATGTTAGTTGGTTCACTTCCTGATTAAGACCAATGCAATTTGAATGTGCAGTTCTCAGCAAAGATCAATCTCATTTTCATGCTGTGCGATGTTATGCGATGCTTAGAATGAAAAATACAACACCTTTTTAAACCAAAACTGAATTTCCATTCCAATCATGGTTTCTTTTTGCAAAAGAGTACAAGTTTTCGAAGAAAGTAAAACTGCCTAAGGTTGTACAAAGTGCTAATATTACTAGAAAAAAAGGAAAACAAAGCAAAAAACATCTAAATCGGTGCCGACAATCTCAAGCTCGAGAGGCCCTCTTTGTCCTCTTCTTCGGTGGGGCAAACTCTGGAGCATTATCACCATCGGCACCGTTGTCTGAATCCAAATCAGAGTCTAAACCGGAGCCCTCATCAGTCTCTCCAGCCTCGCCTCTAGCAGAATCTGAGCCGGCATCATCATCTCCATCCTCAAATGACTCTGACTCTGGACTCGCCGCCTCATCCTCCTCCTCGCTCGTCTCGTCATCATCATCGCCTAGAATGTGCTCAGAAGGGCCACTCTTGCCACGGGTGCCCCTAACTCTGCCTCGGCTGTGTGTCGGAGCCCGTCTCGCTCTCCTCTCTACTGATGGAGGTGGTACTGAAGGTCCTGTTGCTGCTCCTGCTGGAGCATCCGATGGGGCTGGCATCTCGAAAGGAATATGAAAAGGGCAGTTTATTATAATGCATTAGTCGTGGTGTATATGAGATGCAAAAGATGATGTGCCATGAGCAGTAACTGATTACAGTGTATGTATGTCGTGGGCAGTGTGTGGGAACAGTGTATCAATGCAGTGTTTTAGTGCAATGTATCAGATTAGTGTAGTGCGAAACAGTTAAAATGCTAATGCATCAGCAAAGAGTTTCATGGCATGAAATGCAAGTTGAAGAAAATTACCGGAATCCTGTAGAGGCTGAGCAGATCTAGGCTTGTCTGTACCATCTCTGTCAAGGAAGCCACTAGCTCAAGGGCCTACCCTATGTACTCTATGGGTGCCTGCAAGTGCATTGAAGGGATCAGTATCCAATAAAGCGTAATTGAATTGAAGTAAATATGCAAAATGTAAAGTTTGGAACATACTGGAGTCGGGCCTCGAACTCCGACAAGTGCATGCCCGGCTGTTGCCGACTCAATGGGGATTTGGCAAGTCTCCCCAGAACGTCTCCGATAAGTTCGCGACGTAGGCAACTCTGGCCATCCTGCCCCCTATCTCGCTCCGGGATCTTTCCTCCTATGAGTCCTAGCCGCTTTGGCCCCTCTGCCTCTCTCCCTCGCAGCCGGAGCTCTCACTCCCTCACCTCCACGGACGCTGGTTAGAGGCGGCATCAGATAAGTCTGAATGAAGGTGGTAGCGTAATCGCCCTCCACATGAAAGTAGTTCGCCTCCAGCCCTACCATAAACTAGATCTCCTCCTCAGCAGAAAGTCTGTGTGTCTCTCTCATAGATACTAGAGGCGCCATTGGTATGAATGGGGCAAGTAGTCCCAGAATCTGTTGCGCGAAGTGCTCGTCCAAGAACCAAGCACGGCAGATCGGGCCCTCTAGGAGGATATGGCAATGAGTGGCAGCCCTAGCGGTCTCGTACGGGAACTTGAGCCTTAACGGTATCACATCCCACGGCTGCCATGTGATCTGAAATAAGAGAATAAACAGATGATTAGTCATTGCCAATTGACTAATGTGTGTATCAAGTTGATTGAAAAGTGGAATGACTTTGTTTTGGGTTACCTCGTGCGCCGTGGCCGTGTCGAAGTACTGACAAAAAAACATGAAGTTTTCTCGAGTCCTACGACGGAGCTGGCCGTCGTATACCTGAGAAAACAAGACTGTCGCTGGGGTCTCCTCTATAGGCTCTGGAGCAAGAGCCGGGAAGTATGCATACACCCACAACTGCAGGGAAATGTGATTGATACAGTGTATGAGCAGATACAGAAAATGCAAAGCAGAAAGCGTACAGTGTATGAGCAGATACAGGAAATGCAGAGCAGAAAGTGCATGTGTTAAACGAGTGTAAAGCAAGAAGTGTTAAGCAGACAATGTAAAGTGAGAAGAGGGGAAAACTACGTTGCGTACCTTCCAAGCCCACCAGTAGCCGCCGATCAAGGTCCCGCTCATGCATCCATACAGAGTGGTCAGGCCGGCTCTGCCCCAGTCATAGAACTGAACTCGTTGGAGCACTACCAATGCGCTCAACAGGTACAAGCCTATGGTATTCCACCTGTTCGAAAACAAGGTGGTACCGAAAAGGAACATGAGGTAGCCCCTGGCATACTGCTCTATCTCTTCAACTGTCTCGGGCTCCACTCCTCTAATCTGCTCATCGAACTAGCTGTATCAGACCATGCTTGCCCGAAGTATCGGCGGGTGTGCCCCAAGCAATGCAGCCCATGCCGCCTCCCAGTCTCCCATGTCAGGATCGAGAGGGATCGGGTCACCCCCTACACCTAAGCCAGTAATCATGGCAAAGTCATAGGGAGTCATTGTCATATCCCCCGTGGTGGAGAAGTGGAAGCAGTTGGTGGTATCCCACCACCTCTTCACGAGAGCCCCTAAGAGAGGGCGGCTCGCTACGACCCGTGTTAAGCTAGAGCATAATTGAACAAAGTCTGTCTTGTCGATAATGTCGCAAACCTTGGCTGGAAGCTTGCCGTACCAATCCCGAGCTGCCATAGTACCGTAGCCTCTGAAGGAGCGGGATCCGTCCTATGGTAATGCATGAGATGCAATCAAATCAAGTAATAAAAGTACAGTTGAAGGTGCAGTTGAATGTAAAGCAGTAATGTATGAGATACAGTTAGATCAAGGCAGTCAAGGCAATCAGATCAAAACAGTCCAAGCAATGCAAACATTTAAAGGTAGTACTGCAGAAAAGTGGAATTCGTACCTCCACAGCAATGGCCGACAAGTGAGATACAGGCTCTCTCAGTAAAAGGTCGTCTCGCACATCCTCAGCGAAATTAGTGAAGGCTTTGATGCCTCCCGCAGTAGGTACTATATGGGTCTCAAGGTGATACCTCGCCAGATCAAAGGGGCGTATTCTCGGTGGTAACGGTTGAGGCTCGACCTTTGGCTCGGCCTCAAAGTCTGCCTCAAACTCTACCAGAGGAAGCGCGGGGAAGGCCCTGTCATGAGGGACATCATCTTCCATCTGAAATGGGTGCAAAATGAGCAAAAGTGAGGGAAAAATGCAGAAAAGAGTGAAACTTTGAAAAAGTCAACCCTAGGGGAGATGAAAAGTCAAAGAAAGTCAAAATCCGGGAAGTGTACTAACCTTGGGAGAAACTCGAGGGGAATGAGCCTTGAACGATGGAAATGACGTAAGAAGCGTCAAAATCAAATTCTGATCAGTTTAAAGTGAAGAGAACAAGAGGGTTTTAGCGAAGAAAATGTTTTTAAGGTATTGAAAAACACGTAGGATGCGTGGGTCTAAGGAGGAGAAGCACCAAGAGAGCAAGGGAAATGATTTTCGTGCAAGGGTTTGTGTGGAAATGAGGTTTAGAGTGGTGTATTTAAAGACCCATGGTTAAAAAGACAGATCTGCCCTAATCTGCCATCGATGGTCGGCAGTGGCACATTGATGGCCGGCACTGCTTTATTAATGGCCGGCAATGATTACTGATGGCCGGCAGGTGGTCGGCGGCCTCCCCAGATGGTTGGCACTGTCCCACAAGCTCCCTATGCCTCTTTGGCCTTGATATGTGTCCTTGGGTTCCAAGAAATGCAAGTTGTGCTCAAAATTTGATTCAAAATGCCTCCACGGAAGTCCAGAATTGCATTCTCAGTGTGCAGTCGTCGTCGCCCATCAACACACACAAGCGGTGTCCTTTTTAACATATTGCAACTCTCCGAGAGGTAAATCGGGAGTTGTCTTTGAGTTGTCTTTGCTAAACATGCTTTTGTTGTTGCATAGAATGTGCATTGCTTTCATCGTTGCATGGAGCATGCATTTTGAATGGTTGCATAGAACATGCATTACTATGTTTGCAAAGAATATGCATGTTGCATGGAGCATGCATTCTGAATTATTGCATTGAACATGCATTATCATGTTGCATAAAAATATACATGTTGCATTGGATGTGCATCATTGATTATCTTGCATAGAATATGCTGTTGTTTCGTCTCTCGCGTGTTGTGCATGGAGCATGTCTCTAACATTGTGTTACGATCATTCGTCTCGCATGGGACATGCATTGTATTACATTGTATCTATCAAGTTTCTTTCTTGTGCATGCACGATATTGTATGTACAGTTCATTCGGAGGAATCCTGGGTAAAACCATTCCTCTCCCTTATACCTTCGTTGGTTAGAAACATTCAGGTACGCCCAGTGTTTACACCGACATATTGCTCCGATTAGAAGCGTTTGGGTTGTGTGCCTGATGTTTATACCTCCTTGGTTAGAAAAATTGGGGTACGCCCGATGTTTACGCCGACATGTTGGTCCGGTTAGAAGTGTTTGGGTTGTGTGCCCGATGTTTATACCTCGTTGGTTAGAAACATTCGGGTACACCCGGTGTTTACACCGACATGTTGCTCCGGTTAGAATTGTTTGGGTTGTGTGCCCGACGCTTATACCTTGCTCCGGTTAGAAGTGTTTAGGTTGTGTGCTCGACGCTTATACCTCGTTTTGGTTAGAGGCGTTTTGGGTTGTGTGCCCGACGCTTAAACCTTGCTCTGGTTAGAAGCGTTTGGGTCGTGTGCTCGACGCTTATACCTTGTTTCTGGTTAGACATATTGGGTTGTGTGCCCGATGTTTGTACCTTGTTCTTGGTTAGGAACATTGGGACGTGCTCCGATGTTTATACCACCCTCCGGTGTGTACACCGCTTCCTTTGCTACTCTCGCATGTGACACGCTAGGATGTGTTTTGTTTGAGACTTCAGGTATGCCCAACAGTCGCTTTTGGCCTTTCCTGGGTGAGGCGCAGTTAAGATTGCATAATTTTCTTACATATTTTCTGCATGAAATGCGGTTTGATTTGTGATTCTCACGCGTGGCGTGTTTGTTTGTTTATTTCTTCTCATGTGTGAGAGTCATGTACCTCGTTGGTTTGCTTAAAGTGTTGCATTTTCTGTGCATGATACTTGCAGTTAAGTGTTTCTTTACAGTTTTCTTTGCATGATCATAAGTTATGCTTTCGCATCATGCATGCCGTTTGCATTTTGCTCCAGCCTGTGGGCGCATCTTTGTATTGCTATATTCAATGTTTGTCTAAGTCCTCGGCCTTGTCAAAAACGGATCGTCTCTGGGTTTTGACATTCACTCACGTCATTTCATGACTTCTGAGTTCTGTCAAAGAAGGGCAACTGTTGACACCCCATTTTTGACCGTCCTTAAGACTTGGATGTTCTTGCAGGTACATCCAGTGACAAGTGTGATTGCTTGTTGAGCGCTCAAATTCCGCGGCGGAACGCCACAGGTTTGAACTTTCCAAACCCTGTATCAATTTTCTCCCATTTTTGGACCAGGTGTTGGTCCTTTCAGCATGCTTCTTTAGGAGCACTGCCGGCCACTTTTGGACATTGTCGGCCATGCATTTATGCCTGCCGGCCATTGATGAGCCATGCTGGCCATCAGTGAGCCACTGCTGGCCATCACTGATGGCCGGCCGGCCACCAGTGCATCAGTAGATTTTTTTAGATATTT